TCTCCCTCCAGCCCAGGAGGGGGGTTGGGTATCTCGGTTGATAGAGAATTCCTTTGCATATCTTGTGTTATGTGTGTAATTCCTATATTGAACGTTTGTTTTAAAGAATTAGTTGGGTGGGATTGGAGTCTCCATTCCAACCCATATATTGTGTTTGATAGGGGTAGCTTACTTTTTCTCCAACTTAAGTAAGGATTGTGTAAGTTAAAATGTAATAATTATATTTGATAATAAAATGAAATGATTATATTTGAGATTCATTTTTTTTTTTGGGGTACATCAAAATGTTTTTGGGTAAGAGGGTACATCAAAAAGTTAAAACAACACCTAAATCTTAGAGACATTGGTGAGGTCAGACATTTGAGATTGACTTGAATGTATGTTCACTTTTATNGGGGTACATCAAAATGTTTTTGGGTAAGAGGGTACATCAAAAAGTTAAAACAACACCTAAATAGATTTTCTAAGAAAGAGACATTGGTGAGGTCAGACATTTGAGATTGACTTGAATGTATGTTCACTTTTATTTAGATCATTAGACATTAAGGGTTGGTTTGATTGGTATTTTTGTTTCGTGTTTTTTATTTTTGTTTTTATTTTTTGTAAAAAAATAAAAATAAAAATAAAAAATGCATTGGAGTTTGTGTTTTTATTTTATATTAGATAAATTGTTCTGCCAAGTGTCATCTCAGAATTTCAGAGTGCTTTTGTCCCAAGTAGTGAGGGGATTGAGTTTCACTCTTGAGAGATAGCCAGATAGTTAAGNTTTCGTGTTTTTTATTTTTGTTTTTATTTTTTGTAAAAAAAATAAAAATAAAAATAAAAATAAAAATAAAAATACATTGGAGTTTGTGTTTTTATTTTATATTAGATAAATTGTTCTGCCAAGTGTCATCTCAGAATTTCAGAGTGCTTTTGTCCCAAGTAGTGAGGGGATTGAGTTTCACTCTTGAGAGATCCAGATAGTTAAAAGAGAGCTACCCGTAGCAGTCGTAAGGTAAGGCCCCCCAATAAGAGTTCAGTCGTAAGTCCGCCCATTCAACCATTTCTCTGGGAATTGCATACAAAAGGAAAAGGTAGTTGATCGATTCCGCCCTTTAGCTTGGCACGTTGATGGAATAAGTGCTCTTCTCTCTATCGCTTCGCCCCTCGGGTAACCTCCTCATATCNATTACAAATAATGTACTGATTGCATATGAGTTAAACCACAATATTAAACAGAAAAGAAGTGGGGGAAGAGCATATCTGTCATTGAAGTTAGATATGAACAAAGCTTACGATAGAGTGGAGTTTTAAGTTATTATGGGCAAGCTAGGATTTGATTTCAAATGGATCAAAATTCTGATGAGATGTGTTTGGTTAGTATCCTACTCTTTTATTATAAATGGTGAAAAATTGGGTTTTATAAGGCGTACAAGAGGTTTAAGACAAGGGGACCCTCTTTCTCCTTACCTTTTCCTCTTATGTTTGTGAAGGTTTGTCTAGTTTGTTGAAATCTAGAGAAGATTCAAGTATGTTACAAGGAATATCTGCTAGTAGATTGGGTCCATCATTCTCTCATCTCTTCTTTGCAGATGATAGCCTCTTGTTCGATCGAGCCACAAAAGAAAATGCCGAGGTTTTAAAGGACTGTCTTCAACTTTATTAAAATGCATCAGGGTAGGTGATTAATTACTCTAAATCAGTGTTGGTCGTTAGCAGGAACGTATAGCCAGATATAAGGCAAGAGTTATCTTCTATTTTTGGAATCCAAATAGTCGAAGGATCATGGCCTTCCTTCTATTGTGGGGAGAACAAAGAAGGCTATCTTTGATGTGATTCGAGAAAGAGTTTGGCAAAGTGTGCAAGGCTGACAAGATAAGATGCTATCCAAAGCAGGTAAAGAGATCTTAATTAAATTAGTTGCCTAAGTTATACCGTCTTATACTATGTCATGTTTTAAACTCCCTTCGTCTTTATGTAATGAGTTAAATAGCTTAATGTCCAAGGTTTAGTGGGGAGGCAATGAGTCTTCTAATAAGATTCGTTGGATGAGTTAGGACAAGCTGTGCAGACCGAAATCTAGAGGGGGAATGGGGTTCAGAAATATTGAAGTTTTTAATCAAGCTCTTCTTGCCAAGCAATTTTGGAGATTGTTCCATAATCCTTGCTTATTGATTAGCCGAGTTTTTAGAGAAAAGAATTTTCCTAGATCTTCTTTTCTGGATGCTCAATTGGGATACAACCCCTGTTTCACTTGGCGGAGTATTTTTGCTACAAAGAATTATGTTGTTTCTAGTCTTCGATGGAGAGTGGGAAATGGAATGGATATTCGAATAAAAGGTGATAACTGGATTCCCAGACCCAATTCGTTCAAAGCTCTAAGTCTGCTGCTAGGGGTGGAGGATGATGTCAGGGTAAGCACTTTGATTGATACTACTACTAAATGTTGGAACATTGACATGCTCTGAAATCTTTTTCTAGCTTTTGAGGTGGAGGACATTCTGTGCATACCAGTCTACCAAGATCTCCCTTTGGATCGTCAAGTAGGACATTTCTCTAAATCGGGGTTGTTTACAATTCGAAGTGCGTATCACTTGATAATGGAGAATCTTCACAAGTGAGAGCCTAGTAGCAGTGAGAATAAGTGGAGTGAAAATTTATTTGGGCGTTGAATGTTTCCAATAAAATTAAGCACTTTATTTGGAGGGTTTTTCAAGATATTCTGCCAACCAATTGCAACTTACATAGGAGAAGGATCCTAGTTGAAACTCAGTGTTATTTTTGTGGATTTGATATGAAAACATCGACTCATTTGTTCATGGAGTGTCCTTTTTCTTTGGAGGTCTGGAAGGGTTCGGGTATTAAACTTCCACCGTTGGCTGCCTACTCAGTCCAAGAATGGCTAATTAAAGTAACATAAAGTGTTCCTATTAGTGATGTAGGTTTGTTCATGACGTTAACCTGGTCGATTTGGTATAACAGGAATAAGGCTCGTCTAGAGGAAGAAGTCCAATACCTAGGGAGAATTCTGGATTTTGCTACTTCTTATATTCATCAGTTCCTGGATGTCCAAGCACATAAGAAGACATTATCGAACCAACAAACACAATCTGATAGTGGTTCTTGGAGTGTGCCATCTTCAAGTACTATCAAAATTAACTTTGATGGTGTTACATGTAAGGATTCAAATTCTTATGGTATTGGGGTAGTTATCAGAGACNCGATTTGGTATAACCTAGTCCAATACCTAGGGAGAATTCTGGATTTTGCTACTTCTTATATTCATCAGTTCCTGGATGTCCAAGCACATAAGAAGACAATATCGAACCAACAAACACAATTTGATAGTGGTTCTTGGAGTGTGCCATCTTCAAGTACTATCAAAATTAACTTTGATGGTGTTACATGTAAGGATTCAAATTCTTATGGTATTGGGGTAGTTATCAGAGACTATAATGGTTTTTTTGTTGCTGGTATGTGTCAATATGTTGGAAAATCGATGGTTGTTGTACATGTGGGGGCTATAGTTGCCTTATTTGGACTGAAATTTGCAATAGAATTAAGATATGAAAGAGTTATGCTTGAAGGGGATTCAAAAATAGTTATGGATGNCTGTTGTACATGTGGGGGCTATAGTTGCCTTATTTGGACTGAAATTTGCACTAGAATTAAGATATGAAAGAGTTATGCTTGAAGGGGATTCAAAAATAGTTATGGATGTCATCAGTAGTAGGAGAGAGCCTAATTTTACTGATAATGACACATTTGTGGAGTAGATCCAATTTCATGTATCTAATTTGTCAGAATTCCTTGTGAGGTGGACAAATTACTCTGGAAACAATGTTGCTGATTTCTTAGCTAAATATGCTTTGCAACGTAACGACTCTATTAGTTGGAGGAGAGATTGTCCTAAGTTCATGTATCCTCTCCTTCAACAAGATAGAATACTTATTTGATGAAATATAATTTTTGCCGTTTCGTATCAAAAATAAAAAAAGGATATTCCAAGAAACAAGTGAAATAGAAGCACACGCGAGGCTTGGTGGAAAGTTAATGAAATCTAGACTTCGAGCTTTGTTAACAACAAAAAAGGTATTTTTTTGCCCAAGTATTTAAACCCATTTCATTCTTTCTCCTCNAAGTTAATGAAATCTAGACTTCGAGCTTTGTTAACAACAAAAAAGGTATTTTTTTGCCCAAGTATTTAAACCCATTTCATTCTTTCTCCTCTCTCCATCACTGCTCTGTCTCTCCTCTCTACTCTCTCAATCGCCTCTGTCCATTCAACTAAGATTGATCGTTGGTGATCGTCTATTCTCTCTTCTCCGGCGATCTGGATGATTACACAATATCTTTCTTACTGGTAATGTGACAACATTCTAGTCTTTAGATAACTCAGTTTAATTTAAGTGTCACCCAAGGATGACTCAATGTGATAAAAAGGGGTCACTGTCTTATTCATGGGACACCTTTTGGACTTTCGTGAGCCATAGATGAGAGTGAAAAGAGTATGAAAAGGTGCACAAGGAAGATGAAAGGAGTCTTACATAGATATGGCAAAACTTGGTGCCTAAGTCATGTCCAAATGGAGTTACCCTTTGTGGGCAAGGAAGTTAATACTGAACTTGAACATAATGTGATCAAAGATCATCATCTGAATTCAACTTTTTCATGGGTGATCACTGTATCTCATTGGCTTGAACATCTCTTTCATGGGTAGTCACTACATCTCATAGGATAGGAAATATTTCCTCATCTACTATGGTAAATGTTAACACTCCCACAGGGCATGACTGTCCTGAACTGTGTGCCAGTATCACCAACTTGGCATTACCCTTTCCTCTTGAGCTTGTGGCATCANACACGTTCCATGATAAAGGCCCTTACCATTCCATACTGCTCTGCAGTCAACACTCCCAAATCTGGAAATGCTAACCAAAACTTCAATGGTAAAGGAAGTATGCCAGTCGGCGAAAACATTAAGAGATAATGGCGCTTCCAACGTTTAGATGTCGGAAGACCTTGACGTGAGTAAACCTTATAAGATCCACCGCGTAACCTGTACGAACACAGCAAATTGACTCGCAACTCCGAAAACAGGAAAGCTGAAACTCCAGAAGAGAGAGTACGGAGAACCCGAAGGGACACAGGACTGAAGTCAAGTGTAACCTTATAAACCATAAATCTCTTAGCAAATTCTAGAGCACTCACGTTAGAGATGAGGGACTTTTCTTTTGATATGGTCACCTTACACTCCTCCATAACCTCAAGATATGACTTCGCGACTACTGGATCCGCGATGACAATGTCATCGCCCAGTAGAGCATAATCAAAGAACTTCACCCCAAGGCGTACCCTCCATGCTGCATACCACACCAGCATATGATGCGTGAGTGTGAACACAGGCCATGAACTGTAAAACCCTAGAGGTTGCCCCTTTGAAAACCGGAAGACATATAATTGGGCGAAGGTCCCTTTTCTGGTAACTGGAAGCCAAAAGCACATAGAATATAAATCCATGACTCGGCTAATCGACGGCCAAACAAACTAAACAAGACACCTCCACTTAAATCTACCGGCAAAGAGCCCTAGTCGTCATGAGCAGCTTTGAGATCAAAGGAAAAAAAATGACTTTGCCTTAAAGTGACGAACTACAAGGCAAGGGGCGCGGTTTAGTTATATGTCCCGTCAGTCGGAAGACGACGAAGCACATCCATCACCCAATCATGTAAAGGCCGGACTAAGGCCTGAAACAGAGGATTTGCNTTTTCTCTTTTGGCTGAAGAATACAGCTGTAACAGTTAATGTTTTTCCGTAAATTGGTTACTAGACAGAGATTTTTTTGTTTTTGCATTGACTAGGTATTGACCTGGTAAAGCGTNGTCCTTTTTTCTCTTTTGGCTGAAGAATACAGCTGTAACAGTTAATGTTTTTCCGTAAATTGGTTACTAGACAGAGATTTTTTTGTTTTTGCATTGACTAGGTATTGACCTGGTAAAGCGTAACAACCAATGCTATTAACATGGACCTTTAGATTAACGGATCTGTAAGGTATTCAATGATTTTGATTGTGCCACGTTAAAATGGTGATGCACAAAGTCAGTGTGAGCAGCATTATTCAGAGCATAATATTACCGTGCTCATAAAGATAACACTGATTCTATTCACATTCTTCTCTTCTATATATTCAGCCCTACTTGGGACAAGCCTTCATAGAAAGAAAAAAAACACTTCATCAGTTTTGATTGAGTTAGTGGAAGAAGAAGAAGAAGAAGAAGAAGAAGAAGNATTCTTCTCTTCTATATATTCAGCCCTACTTGGGACAAGCCTTCATAGAAAGAAAAAAAAACACTTCATCAGTTTTGATTGAGTTAGTGGAAGAAGAAGAAGAAGATGATGATGATGATGATGGGGGAATCCTTGGCTCAACTAGGCTCAGTGATTGGCACTGTAATGTTTGTTTGGGCCATGTTTCAGCAATACTTCCCCTATCAACTTCAGCTCAAAATTGAAAAATATGGTCAGAAACTAGTGAACTGGGTGTTCCCCTATATACAAATCACTTTTCATGAATACCCAAATGATGGCTTCAAGCGCAGCAAAGCCTATGCCGCCATTGAATCCTATCTTGGTGCTAATTCTACCATGCGAGTTAAGCGGCTTAAAGGCGATGTAGTGAAAGATAGTCAATCTCTAGTCCTTAGCATGGGCGATTACGAGGAGATCATCGATGAATTTGAAGGGATTAAGCTTTGTTGGGTGTTCAGCAAAAAACTTCCTAATTCACAAACAATCACATTCTACCCTGGTGAAGATGAAAGGAGGCATTACAAGCTCAGTTTTCATCAGCGGCATCACGATATGGTCACTGGATACTATTTGAATCATGTCCTGGAGGAAGGGAAGAAGATTTCAATAAGAAACAGGCAGCGAAAACTCTACACCAACAGCCGTGGTGAGAATTGGCATGGTCACAACACCATGTGGAGCCACATAGTGTTTGAGCACCCAGCTACATTTGAGACTTTGGCCATGGAACCAAAGAAGAAGCAGGACATTATCAATGACCTCGTTACCTTCAGCAAGGCTAAAGACTATTACGCGAAAATTGGCAAGGCATGTAAGCGTGGGTATCTTCTCTATGGTCCTCCAGGAACTGGTAAGTCCACCATGATTGCTGCAATGGCTAATTTTATGCAATATGATGTTTATGATCTTGAATTAACGGCTGTTAAGAATAACACCGAGTTGAGGAAGCTATTGATTGACACATCGAGTAAGTCCATCATTGTGATTGAGGACATTGATTGTTCGCTGGATCTCACAGGCCAAAGGAAGGAAAAAAATGAGGAAGATGGGAAGGAAAAAGGAAAGGACTCTGTAGTTTTTACGAAGGCAAAAGCTAATCAAGACGAAAACAAGAGCAAGGTCACTCTATCCGGGCTTCTGAATTTCATCGATGGAATTTTGTCGGCCTGTGGGTCTGAGAGAATCATTGTGTTTACAACTATGTGGAGAAACTCGATCCTGCTCTCATTCGTAGAGGGCGCATGGATAAGCACATTGAATTGTCCTATTGTTGTTTCGAAGCATTTAAAGTGTTGGCAAAGAATTATTTAGACCTTGACTGGAATGATCTGTTTGCAACTATTTCACCCTTGTTAGAGGAAACCAATATGACTCCAGCTGATGTTGCGGAGAATTTGATGCCTAAGTCAGCTGAAGAAGATGCCGATACTTGTTTGAGGAATTTCATTAAAGCTCTTGAAACGTCCAAGAAAGAAGCAAGGTTGAAAGCTGAGGAAGAAGAGAGGCTCAAAGCTGAGAAAGAGCATGAAGAGGATGAGCNTTGAGGAATTTCATTAAAGCTCTTGAAACGTCCAAGAAAGAAGCAAGGTTGAAAGCCGAGGAAGAAGAGAGGCTCAAAGCTGAGAAAGAGCATGAAGAGGATGAGCAAAATTGTACAGAAGTGAAAGACAAAGCATCAGCATCAGCTCAGGATGGGAATGAAAATGGATTCAGCAATGGGGATGATTCGGAGACAGAGTGAATCAACCAACTCAGAGTAAAAAAAAAAATTAGATTAAACATTTGGGCATAGGCACGTAGTTATGTCCATCAGTCTGTTATTATGTGTCACTATATTGTGTTGTTTCTCTGTTTTTATGGTTTAAGTCTTTTAGTTATTAATCTTGGCTAGTACTGATCTCTAGCTGTTTACTGTTAAGTGTATGGTGTTGTTCCTCTGCTTTTATGGTTTGAAGACTTTTAGGAATTAGTCTTGTTTAGTACAAAACTCTTTTTAGGATCCAGAAAGCAGCTTTCAGTTTGAACAACTTGGTTATGGCCTCACATTTTTCATATAAGCATGTGCTTAGTATTTGGACTGTTCAAGTTTCTTTCTTTCTCTGGTTTGCGGTGAAATTTAACAAAATTTCAATGGTTCACAATTAGTATTGTTTATCAAGTCAAGCCATATAGGGTTCGATTTTAAACGAATTGGTCTTAAATAATTTTTTAAGCTCGTTTTACTAAATGAGCATAAAAGGCTTGGTTCAAGCTTNTTGGTCTTAAATAATTTTTTAAGCTCGTTTTACTAAATGAGCATAAAAGGCTTGGTTCAAGCTTTCAAAGTTCAATTTGTTTTTATGTAAAATAGTCAAGCTATTTGGGTTTAGTTCGAGTTTAGCTCGTTTTTGGCTCGACTCATTTTCTAAATCGCCTCTGTCCATTCAACTAAGATTGATCGTCGGTGATAGTCTATTCTCTCTTCTCTGACGATCTGGGTTATAGGTTCTTCTTCGACGATCGTCTCTTCTTCGACAATCTGGATTTTGGATTCTCCATCTTGTCTCTTGTCTGGCGATCTGGGGTGCTGAGTCTGTGTTCTGTGCATGAGTGCATGTGTCTATGTGTGTCTTATGTGCAGATCCATCACAACCCCTCCTTTTTTTTCTTTTTCCCTAAAAAAATTCCTTCCGTTCCCATCTATGTATGTGTGTGTGTACTGAGTCTGTGTGAGTGTATATTGTGGGTGAATTTGTGGATATGTTGAATATATTGTGGGTGAATTTGTGAATATGTTGAAATTCATGAGTGTATAACTTTGGATACAACTTGACGTGGTTATCAAGCATATTTTTAATTTTTGTTCTCACAATTTTATAAATATAAATAATTTATAAACATGTTTTTTGTTTTCAGTGTTTACCACAAAAAAAAAATAAAAATTATTTCTATTTTTAATTTTTTAAAAAAAATACAAAAATAAAAACATTACCAAACGACTCCTAAAATAGACAATATAGTAATTTATATTTTTTGTGATCCCCATAATAAAAAAGAAAAAATGTTATTTGATATCAATTGACTTTAATACCATTATCTTGGTGTAGAACATAGGCATTGAAAAGGATAATGTTGTAATTTAACGTTGCAATATCATGTGTTTGTTTAACACCTCATTATTATATTTACACCACCCCACGTGGTATTGTTGTAGCACTGAGCCAGTGTTATTTTTAAATTTTTTTTTCCCGGACCAACAATAAGATAACAAATAAAATATGAATGGACCACTGATACTATTTTTCTCTATTCACCCCTTAATACCCTGCTTATCGGCAACACAAACACACCCAGGCATCTAGGTTTATCAGGAATCTGTTTGTATCCTCAAGCTGTGCTGGAATTTTGGAGGTGAACCTATTGCCAAACGTACTGTATAATATTTCTGGTCTTACAATTACAAATTCCAGGTTACTACTACCAAACACTAAAACACGGGGGCACACAGGAGAAGAGAAGGAGCAAACGATATGCCCTGCAAATTAATAGCAGAGTTTTCTCCTAAAGGTTAGCTAGAATGAAACTTTTTTCTTTAGTTTACCTTCCTGGTAGGACAGATAATTGAATTGAGCTATTCGAGCTGGCTCGGGTTCGACTTGTTTTGAGCTCATTTAAGTTTTACTTATTTTTTATACGAGTTGAACTTAACAAATTTTTAGACTCGTTTAGAAAACAAATTCAACAGGTTTGGCTTGAATTCGATTAATTCGACTAATTTATTTATAAGAGCAATGTTACATGCATTTAAAAATTAAACTTGAGATTAAACTTGATAATCTCAACCGTTGATTTTATTGTGGGTCCCAGCGTTTATTGGGACTCACTACCTATTCAATAATTGAAATTATCAAGTCTAATTTTTAAGTCCATCTAACATTACTCTAGCTCAAATTCGATTAATTTTGAACTCGTTCAGCCTCAACTCGTTTTTAAACAAATTAAATTTAAATAATTTTTTAAACTCGTTTAAAAAAATCAGCCCGATAAACTATTCGATTATCACCATGAATCCTGCTGTGATCTTCTAACTCAATTATTCAACATATGATCCCCCAAAAAAAAAAAAACAAAAAAAAACAAAAAGAAACTTTTTCCGATGTAGCCTGGACCAGGAATAGGATGACTCTTCTTTTAACTCAGAAGACCATTGAACTTTTTTTACGTGTTATCACCTATCCTCTTCGTTGTTTTATCTAATTTTTGTTGTTTCACAATATCTGTCGTTTTATGAAATTAAAGTATAATTAATATTTTTTCTTCTAAATTTATCCATATCTCTATTTTTTTAATAAGTGCTTAATAGATTAAGTGTAAGGTAAGTGTCTTTCATATTCTTTTTCTTCCCAATATGTATTGAATAAGGATATTTTAGTCTTGTATAATTATTTTTTACTCATATTCCTTAATCTCTGTGTAAAAATCATAAACGTCAGATATTTAAGAACGGATGAAGTAATTAATACTAGCATTGCATTAACAAACTAAGGGAGATATTAACCGGGGCATACGAGCTTGTAATTAAATGTACCACATGTCCTCAATGTTGTACCTGCTGTACAGGATTACATTTAAACCCTTACATACTCTGTAAAGGGAAATATTAACTGGGCATAAGAGCTTGCAATTAAATTGTGCGTGCAGGATCCTGCACAATATAAAAAATGAGAACAGATCTCTCTTTTGGTGAATTTCGAGTGAGCCGGTTGAGTGACCAAACACGCTGCTTGGGACAGCCTGCAAGGTACGGTGGTAACCTGGAACGGCAACGGGAGACCCTGGGGAAGAAAGAACGATCCTGTGAGGCTGAAAGGGGTTCCTAGAACAAAGAATAACAAGTTAGAAGGGCGCCGGAGTGTTTTCTGGCGTATCCCCTCCGACGGTTTAGTCAGTCTTTTAGTGAGAGAGAGAAGGAGAAAACACTGAGAAAAAATGTATTGTAGTAGAGAGTTTGTTGTTGCATACCCGCTTTGCCTTTTGCAAGGAGTATTTATACCTTAAAAGCTCATGATTGCTGTCAGTGTCGTCAGTAGGTGATCATTAGGCTCAGGTAGCGTGTGCATTGATTCTGATGAGGAATGTCTTCTCTAATTAACTGCTCGGGGTCCCGAGCAATCAATGCTGGATCGTCGGGATGCCGACGGTACAATGTGCTCCTCTCGGGGAGGATGCAATAAATGCTCTGTAATAGGAGCATTTATTGCCTTTCATTTCCGAGCCTTACCGCATTGAATGCGGTCTCATCAAGGGAATGGTGCAATTAATTGTTTGCTTTCCCAAGTCGCGTGTCAGCAACGGCATGCGGTTTGTCTGTCTTTGATGTGATATCATATGCCACGCGTCCATCCCCTATTGGCTGTGACCTCTGTATTCCAGTACGTTCTGACATTACTTGTGTAAGACGAGGTCATGATGAATAGCCTAGACTAGCCTAGGCTAATGACCTGCACGTCAATAGCTTATCCTGGAGTAGAGGAAGCGTCCAGGACGGGGTACCTCTCGGCACCGAGGAAAGGCTCATCTCGGGGACCGAGGGAGGTATGCCGACCGAGGTACATATCAGACCGAGGCCACGTGTCGGTTGTAAAATATACTGAATGTATGATCCTATATGACGGTACCTCGGGGGCGAGGACATTCGTGCGCCGATGGTGCTTGATCTTAGCAACAGTGTTTTAGTAAAACCGAGGACACGTGTCTTCATCATAGGGTATTTCAGAAAAGTCCCATCAACTGCCCCCCAGCCTTCGATCTTCTGACACCGAGGACACGCGTTGTAAGGAGACGAAGGGTTTCCCAACTACCACCCGTCCTTCATCATGGCCTCGAGCCGCTTTCCCCGGCTTGGGATGTCGTGCGCATTAAATGCGCCGTTTCGGTTTTCACGCCCAATGATGAAAATTGCCCCTATATAAAGGGGGTTCCTCTCCGGTTTCCTTCGTTTTGCCATTTCGAACTTTCTCCAGAGTACGTCTTCTTGAATCTTCGCCGGAGTTTTGTTTCTTCTGCCATCGTCGACTGCCCATTCTCCCTCAAAATCTTAAAGCCAGCAGACCCATTGTTGATTTCTGAACTTTCTGGAGGGAGTCGCTTTAAGGTTTTCCAGAAAAAACTCCATTTTGACGTTCGGGTGAGTTTCAGAATCCTCTTTCTTTTCTTCCTCCTAGCCTTTTGTTTTCCGATTGACTGGAGGTGTCATCCGGTCGATACATAGCGATTTAACCCTCGGGAAACTTCCTCAGGGATTTTCAAGAACAAATACCCTCTTCTTTCTTACTTTTTTAGAGATGCCTCGTCGTCGCCCTGCTCCCGAGAATCCTCAGGCTGGTCCTTCGGGGTCAGGGAAATATAAGGTAAAAGGCGATGAGCAGATCAATAGGTTTAGGGCCAAGTACGACATTCCTCCGTGCGTAGACGTAGAGGATTTTGACCCGGTGGTGCACTCTTCTACCCTCGGGGCTGAGGATGCCATGCCTTTCTATACCAAGGCCATCATAGAGGGTGGAATTATGTTTCCTTTACCCCCCTGCTTCTTCAGTTCCTCTCTCATTTCCGCCTCTTCCCCGGGCAATGCTGCCTTAATGTCTTCTGAATAATCATGGGGGTCTTAGAGCTCAATAG